GGGCCCCGTGAGGATTGGGGTGATGGGGGAGGGGAGCCCATGAGGATTCGGGGGGCATTGGGGGGATTCAGGGGTGCCTGTGAGGATTATGGTCCCCGTGAGCATTCGGGACCCACCCTAACCCCTGTCACAGGTACGTGCTGGGCCACGAGGCCATGAAGCGCATGCAGACCTCCAACGTGCTGGTGTCGGGGCTGCGGGGGCTCGGCGTGGAGGTGGCCAAGAACCTGGTGCTGGGGGGAGTCAAGTCTGTCACCCTGCACGATCCCCACCCTGCGGCCTGGACAGACCTCGCTTCCCAGGTGAGTCCCCTGGGCAGGTAACACACCATGGGCAGGTAACACGTCTTGGGTAGGTAACAGCTGCTGGACAGGTAACAGCTTCTAGAGCAGATAACACCCCCTGGGCAGGTAACATGTCTTGGGTAGGTAACATTTCCTGGACAGGTAACAGTTTCTGGAGCAGATAACACCTCATGAGTAGGTAACACCCCCTGGGCAGGTAACCTTTCTTCTCCATTTCAACCTTTGGCCCAGCCTGCCTCTCAGCTGAGTTGCACCTGGGATAATTCATTTGGGGAAGAGAGTAAATGTCACCCATATTTGTTTTGGGGAGGTATAAGGTTTATTTAGGCCTTAAGTGTTTCCAAGTGTGTGAATATTTCTTGTGGGTCTTGGATGCTGTCTGTGGTGCTTTGATGTTTTCCAGGGGTGTTATCTGTTTTCTGGGTGTCTGAACAGCTCCCAAAGGGAATAAATCCCCCACAGTTGCTCCATTTGGGTCGCTAAATTTCTCCTGTATTCGAGGGTGGGGGTCCTTGGGTGCTGGGAAAGGTTGGGGGACTTGTGTGTGGGTGGGGCTCCCCTGACCCCCCTTTTTCCTCTCGAGCTGTACCTGAAGGAGGAGAAAGTGGGGGTGTCTGAGGGTGCTGGGCCCCCCCTGATCCCCCTTTGCCCCCCCAGTTCTACCTGCGGGAGGAGGACGTGGGGCAGAGCCGGGCGGAGGCGACGCTGCCACGCCTGGCGGAGCTCAACTCCTACGTGGCCGTGACCAGCACGCGGGAGCCGCTGTCCCAGGAGCTGCTGGCGCCCTTCCAGGTACCCCAGGCCAGGTGTGCCCCCCCGGGGGGCAGGTGTGACCCCCCCCAGACAGGTGTAACCCCCCCAGGGTCGCCTGTACCCACCTGGGGGTCCCTTTGCCCCGAAACCCCCCTGATAACCACGTGCAGGAGATGATCCATCCCCTCTCCAGGTGGGTGCCCCAGGTGATACAGGTGACCCTCGTTCCCCCACAGGTGGTGGTCCTGACCAACTCCCCCCTGGAGGAGCAGCTCTGGGTCGGCGACTTCTGCCACAGCCACGGCATCAAACTGGTGGTGGCCGACACGCGCGGGCTCTTCGGGTGAGGGGGCTGGGGGGTCCTTGGGATCAGAGTCTCTTTGTGTCAAGGGGGACTGGATGGCTCTGCAGGGGGGTCCTGAACACGGAGGTTGGTTTTTGGGGTCCTCCACTGACCCTTCCCTTGCAGGCAGCTGTTCTGTGACTTTGGGGACGACATGGTGGTGACAGACCCCAACGGGGAGCAGCCCCTCAGCGCCATGGTCTCCATGGTGACCAAGGTACGGGGTCCCCTCAGCACCTGCTGTGCGTCCTCCCCCCCTTCCCAAGGGTACTCTGGGGGGTTCCTGGGTGTCAGGGTCCCCTCAGCACCCGCTCTGTCCCCCCAGGGGTGCCCCGGGGAGGTGACGTGTCTGGACGAGGCGCGTCACGGCTTCGAGACGGGTGACTTTGTCACCTTCACCGAGGTGGAGGGGATGGAGGAGCTGAATCGCTGCGGCCCCGTCGAGATCCGCGTCCTCGGTGAGCCCTGGGGCTTTTTGATGACGACCCCAGTTACCTGGGGCTGTTTTAGGGAGCGTCTGACACACCTGGGGCCCTTTTTGGGGGTCCTCTGGATGTCAGGGTGGCTTTTTGGGGTGCCCTGGAGCGGGGGTGCCCTGGTGACACCCCTCCCCCAGGGCCATACACCTTCAGCATCGGGGACACCAGCGGGTTCGGGGACTACGTGCGGGGGGGCATCGTCACCCAGGTCAAGATGCCCAAGCACATCCACTTCGTGAGTGGCACTGGGAACTCTGGGGGACACTGGGAGGGCTCTGGAAGGGAGGGAGGGGCAGTGGGAGAGATGGGGGGGACCAGCAGGAGTTGGGGTGGTTCTGGGAGCACTGGGAGGGGGCAGGGTTGTATTGTGCGGCACTGGGGGAGATTGGGGAGGAGTGGGAGGTTGTTGGGAAGGTAATGGGACATAGTGGGGGAGCGATAAAAGAAACTTAGGTGGAAACGCAGGAGGCACTGGTAGGTGGCTGTGGAGAGTTACTGGGGGTTACTGGGTTGTACTGGAGTCACTGACATGCTCAGCTGTTGCTGTCCCAAAAGTGGCTGCCTAAAAGGGGCACTGGGGTGTCGCTGGGTTGCCCTGGGGGTGTTACACTCACCTGTCCTTGTTGCTGTCGCTGTCTCAGAAGCGGTTCCGGGACGCTCTGGCTGAGCCGGAGATGATGGTGACGGATTTTGGGAAGGTCGAGAGACCCTCGATGATGCACTGGGGGTGGCAGGGACTGCACCGCTTCATGCGCCAGCACGGCCGCCCTCCCCGGCCCCGCCACCAGGTAGGGACATGGGGGGACAGCAGGGACGTGGAGGGGACGGTGGGTGGAGGGACTTTGAGGGTGTTGGAGATGTGGAGGCCACCGGGTCCTACCCCAGCATGGCCACCCCTGTGGGCCATGTGCAGCTGCTGGGGACACTGAGGGCGTTGGGTACACAGAGGGCACCGTGGCCCTGCCCGTGTTTGAGGTCATCAGAGGTACTGGCAGCTTGAAGGGAAACGTGGAGTCACCAGGTCCTGCACCAACGGGGATCACCGCCGTGGTCCTGGGGACACTGGGGCCATCAGGGGTGTCAGAGACACTGTGGAGGTTTTTGGGGACACTGGGGGGATCATTGAGGCCATGGAAGCCATCAGCCCCTTCACCCCCACCACCGCTGCTGCTTGTGGCCCCTTGGTGGCTTCCCCAGCTCTGTGTGCCCTCCCAATGCCACGTGTGTGTGTCCCCCAACGCCGTGTGTGTGTCCCCCAATGCCGTGTGTGTGTCCCCCAAC